AAGGTGAAAGTACCTTAGAAATGGCAACATAATTCACTATGAAACACCTTAATGATCAAACTAGTATCGATCAGTTCCATTCTCGATTGGTGCACCATGGCTTGGAGCTTCCGCTGCAATGGACCATACCACGAGCAGAGGCAAGATGGTTCATAAACGTATACAAGGACAGGCCAGACATGAATCCAGTTCTGCTTGAGCTGGCTGAATTGGATTTCAACATTGTTGAAGCAAAATATCAGCAGGAACTAAAACATCTCTCCAGGTATTTATTGATAGGATGCTCTATTCACTCAAAAGACAAATTGACATGACTACTTGTCTTCAATCAGAGTCAACTCAATAGGGAATATGATGGAGGAACAAATTTGCCTTTCACTTTACCACTAAAAAAATTTGTTATGGTGGTAGAAAATGTGTATAAATTCCTACACCAATAAATTTGCACATTTCTATCTCTTTTTACATTTTAAATACGTGGGCCAAATATATTGAATTTTGATGTCTAGACGTTACAAATGTTTTTGTTTATTTCCTTCTGCTTTTTCTATGAATAGGTGGTGGAAGGGAACGTGCCTTGCCTAAAAGTTGTCCTTTGCGAGGGATAGGCTGGTGGAATGTTTCTTTTGGACTACTGGGGTGATATTTGATCCACAATATGAATTTTGTAGGAAAATATTGACGAAGGTCAATGTTTTAGTAACAACCATAGATGATATATATGATGTCTATGGTACATTAGATGAACTAGAAGTTTTTACAAGAATCATTGAAAGGTTAGCAACATCCTTATTCCTCATTTCAGACACACCCCCACCCCCATCCCCAACCAATAAAAAAAAAGAAGGAAAAAGAAAAAAACGAAGTCCTTTTGTTAAAGGACACAATCAAAGTTTGTCAACGCAGTACTTTGTAGATTAAAAGGTGTATGTGATGGGGAGAATTAAATAATTGGCTTATTCCATTCTTCAAGTAGAAAGTTGGTTTTCGACCTTTAACAACGGGCAAGCAGGTTATTAATTTTATTTATAGTTGCAAAATTATTTCTCAAGAAATGGTTCGAATCTATTTTAAATTAATCAAAACGTGGTCCTTGCATAATCAACTTCATGAAACTAGGTTTTACTTTCTAACAAAGGACTGGTGTGTTGTAATTTAAAGTGAAGCATGTTTTTGTGAGGGCCACACGACGATTTTATGAAAATTATGGTTTTCATTATTGGGCGACCGGTTGTTAAACAATAATAAAATGTAAGGTATGAACTTGCTTTTCTTCAAAGTTCAGGACCAAATTATTATTGATATATTGATTTTTTTTTCTCCGCTTTCTGACTCCTATAATTATTATCCCGATTTAATCCGTTGGTCGGCAACGATTTTACGTCTTTCAGATGATTTAGGATCATCAGTGGTGCGTGTGTAGACTACAATTTCATTTCATGTTTCCAGGTTCATTCTTGTTTATGAAATCATTAAGACATTAGGAATTCGAAATTAACCCTTTACAACTAATGGTTTATTTCGTTTTCTTTCTCTCAGGATGAAATGAAAAGAGGCGATGTTCCTAAAACAATACAATGTTACATGAAAGAAACTGGTGCTTCTGAAGACGAGGCACGCAAACACATAAGATCTTCAATACGTGAGACGTGGAAAAGAATGAATAAAGTTCAAGAAACAAGTTGTCCATTCTCAAAAACTTTTATTGAAATTACAGTGAATCTTGCGAGAATGGCACGATACAGGTACCCGTATGGAGATGGGCATGGCATTCGAAATCACGAAACTAAGGCTCGCATCTTAGCATTACTATTTGAACCCATTTGATGAAAATTGAGTTTTTAATTTTCTTTTAGTTATTATTTCTTTATTAAATAAATTCAGATTTTAATT